CGAAAGTTAACCAGTTCGCCAATTTTTTTGCCAGCGTGAACAATTGACGGAGACGCCGGTTACCGTATCGTTAAGCGTGAACACAGGCGACTAACAGTTAGATCGCAAGCGCCTGACGACAGCCGCGCGATACACTGTAGTGTATTTGATTGCCGAAATTCTGTCAGTCTGTATAATTGTTTCAATGATTTTATTCTCAATGCAATGTGTATTACTGAATTATGTGAATGATGGGGTGGTTTTAAGGGGGGGTTTTTATGATTGAAATGGATAAAGAATGTCTTAAGGTATCTATTCAATGCAGTCTCCGTGTTTTTTTTGCAGGGATGGCCATACAAATGGCTGAAATGTGGAGCTCAAAATGGTCATATTTTGGGGGTTTCATGGACATATGCTTGGGTTTTCATGTTTTTTTTTTGGGAATCTGTCTCCCCTAGTACTGCTCTACTTGTTTTAACCTTTTTTAAAGTTTGCAACAGTTTGTACTTTTTGGTTCATGTTAGCCAACTCAAGTATGTCAGTAGTACATGCTAGGTCATTCTTTGGCAAACAGCAAGTCAACATTGCTTTTTTGTATTTGTTATTTCATAACATTCAATGTATTGTTAGGCTTGGAATGCCCTGCCCATCACACATGCCACGTCAAACCAACGATAAGATGAGAGAAAATGGGGAAAACGTTTGATGATCTGCTTGTGTGTTCTCAACATCTATTTGCTGTGTTCTCTTATGATGATGTAGATGTTTACCTCCCCCAATACACTTTAACATAGTGTCCTAGTGCTTCCTGTCAAAATAGTATGTAGTGTTAGGAGCCATAGCTAGGAGAGTCCTAGCTAGGCAAGAGACAGTTTAGGCAAAAGAAGAGGGTTTTCACTAGCAGCAATGAGGATACATATAGCAAACCCTAGATGGGTTGTACTCGCTACAGAGCACCCCACTACAGGCTAGAGAATAACATTCTGACACACCCCCATAGCCAAAGTGGGGTGTAATCAGCAGAGCAAACAAAGCAGTACAAGCTCAGGGTGGATCACAATGTCACCACACATTCTGAGCACAAGTTCAAGAAGCAATAGTTTAAAGTTCACAATTATGAGCAAAGCTAGTGGTAGTCACAACGGGCAAGTGAGGAGGAGGAAAGAGACTATGAGAGGAGAGGAGGTAGTGGGCGGCAGCTGAAGCTGCTGGCACACGGCGCAACTGGAGCAACTGGCACACGGGCAACTGGAGCAACTGGCACACTGGCAACTGGAGCAACTGGCACACGGGCTACTGGAGTAACTGGCTCCGCGGCTAAAAGTAGCGGCAGACGAGCAACGGACTCACGGGCGACTGGAGCAACGGGCTCACGGGCGACTGGCGCAACGGGCTCACGGGCGACTGGCGCAACGGTCTCACGGGCGACTGGAGCTGCTGGCTTGACGGCGGCCACCCCCTTCAACCTCCCCAAACTATCCCACTCCCCCTAACACACACCCGCTGCTACACCGCTAGCTCCACTCCCCTTTCACCCCCCCCTTAGTACCACTCCGTCGGCTCCAACAGGTCCACCCCCCCTCAGCGGCAGCTGCAGCACAGGGAGACGGAGGAGGAGGAGGAGCAGGGAACGGCACTCAGAAGCTGCACCCCCATACCCCCCACCCCCAAACCCTAATCCAGGAGAACGGGCAGAAGGAGGGGTGGGGCGCCTTCAGAAGCACGGGGGACAGCGGGGAGGACAGGGGCAGCGAAGAACGGGCCGCCCACGGGCCTGGCACAGCCTCCCGAACCGCGCGCAGGCGGTCCGAGCCGCGCGCGGGCCTGGCGCAGCCCGTACGAGCAGCGCGCGGGCCTGGCGCAGCCCGTACGGGCCGCGCGCGGGCCTGGCGCAGCCCGTACGGGCCGCGCGCAGGCCTGGCGCAGCCCGTACGGGCCGCGCGCCGGCTGTACGGGCCGCGCGCCGGCTGTACGGGCCGCGCGCAGGCCACGACGGGCGACGGGGGGCGACGCGCGGGTCCCCGTCGCCCGTCGCAGCGCCTCCCGGGGGCGACGCGCCGAGTGACGGGGCAGAAACCCGCCGCGCGCCTCGGGGCACACGGCGGGCAGAGAACCGCCGCACGCCTCGGGGCGCACGGCGGGCAGAAAACCGCCGCGCGCCTCGGGGCGCACGGCGGGCTGAAAACCCTAATTTCGACGCCGCGCACCACGGGGCGCGCGGCGGACAGGGAGTAGCAGTAGCAGCGGAAGCAGTGAAGTGGGCCCACAGGCCAGGAACGTTAAGCTCTGATACCATGTCAAAATAGTATGTAGTGTTAGGAGCCATAGCTAGGAGAGTCCTAGCTAGGCAAGAGACAGTTTAGGCAAAAGAAGAGGGTTTTCACTAGCAGCAATGAGGATACATATAGCAAACCCTAGATGGGTTGTACTCGCTACAGAGCACCCCACTACAGGCTAGAGAATAACATTCTGACACTTCCATCGTTTTGAACCTTTGGGTTTTGGTTAAAAAGATGATTTACACGTCTATTACAATTAGGGGGGGTTTGTGAAAGCTAACATCTATATTTGCTTGTGTTTTTCAATGCGTTGTTGAGTTGTAATTATGTGCCTTACACATGGATTGCCTCCTTGCATTGTCCTTTGTGGTGTGGGTTTTGGGGCACTTGTATGTGTTTTGTTAGGCCTGCTTGCAATCTGGCTTGATTAAAGTTTACACATTACTGTCCAAGGTGTAGATTGTAGTAGCGCATAAAAGGGGTGGTGATTTTCGAGACTGGATCTGACATACGGGTGACTTCCCCGAGATGGAACTGCTTTTTCGGCGCATACGAGGTACATTTTCGACGAGGCACATGCACCGAACTTAGTAGCCCAATTTCGAGTTGTATAATAGCGATTAGGCGATGGAATTTGGGCAATTTTCGAATTCGACCATCCTTGCATGCACTCGAACTCGAAATCACTGACATCCACGTGGCGGCTCAAAGGATAACTCTCGAAATTTGCGTGGGGAGGATGGTTATTGGTCGAAATCTGTCGCTGACGCATTTTCAGAGTGCAGTACAACTTGAGATTGTGCCCATACGAGGGGCTTTTAGATCGCGGGTCAGTACTGGTTTCATGGCTAAGGGTCAGTACTGCTTTGAGGTCGCCGCAACTATGTAGGGTCAAATGTTTGAACACGACCTCAAAGTTCGGGCTCAGGTCGGAGGGGGGCGGGTATAAATGCCCAACGGAGGTCATTTTTTCATTTTACATCTTCTCTTTCAGTTTTTGTCCAGCTTCTTCCTTAGATCCCAGCCTCCCTGTTTCCTCCACTTCGTCAATGGAGCCTTCGATGGAAGTAGAGGCTGCTGGCTTGCGTGTGCGCCTCTCTCGTTTAGAGTTCGAGAACATGCGACACAAGCGTGGGGAATGGACCGAGAATATGCTCAACTTTGTTATGGTGTAAGATGCCCTCGTAGTATTGATTCTCGGCTAGAGATGTCACGTTTCGAGATTTACAGGCTCTCTGTCACGTGTAGAGTACAAGTAGCGATCGAGCGAAAAACGCTCTAGGCGCTCCAACGTCTTACCCATATTCCGAGATGTAGTTTCCTCTATTCTACTGCTCAACAGAGGCGATCGGTTCTCGAAAGGCGCTTAGATCTCTATTTCGAGAAATATTTCCGCGAATACGGATGTGTTGTGTTGCGCTGCTCTGATCTCTGAAAGCTCCGTGTGTTGTCTCTTGCAGGAAGATTGCAAAGGAGAGGCTGACCGCGGAGCAGCTTTCGAAAATGGAAATCATCCCCATGAGTACAGTAAATGCGGCCAGGGCGAAACAACCTTTCGAACCCATGGGTCCTGGCAGACTCGATGGTGTGCTTGGCAAGCAACTCGTAGTCTTTCCGCTGTGGTCAAGGTAAGCTCGAATTTCATAGGTTACGGTGTCAATATTTATTGCTCTGAACATACAGCGGCTGTTCGAGGTTTTACGCGCTGGCTAACCTTTCACCCCACTGCCCCATGCAGCATGACTGCCGAACCTGGAGCGCGCTGTAGCCTTTTCATGCTTGTTCGGCCCGACAGTCTGGCCGACCACCCGAATCTTCCGGTTGCGACGCGTCTGCTGCATTTCGACCCCAAATCGAATTCTCCACCACACAAGCACAGCGACCTCGCCCTACAAGTTGTCAAGTAAGATTTAGCTACTGTCGCTCGTCACATGTGCTTGATGACGGTACGGCAGATCAGAGCCTAATTTTGTCGAAACCCCACATGTTGAGCAGATGGCTGGAGGTGCAGCTCTTGACGGAGTATTCTAGAGGAGAAGCAATCAATGGAGACTCGGAGGTGCAGGAAACATTCCGCGACATCAGGAGACGGATTACGAGCGGGTGGAGGCTCGACAGTGCGTCAGTAAGTTTACGGTGCAAACTCATCTTGTACATTGGAACTCTAAACAGGACAAGAGCTAACCTGCTCCATTTCCCTTTCAGCAGAAGCTAACTCCAATGGTCTCCTCGAGGGAGGTCGGAAGCGGTTCTCATGTAGCGTACCAGTGGCGTAAAATGCTCGATCAGTTTGACTCGATTCTCTTACAGCATGATCGAGATGATAAATTTAGGGTTCTTGGAAAACCACCCTACCGGCGAGAGGATATATTCAAGGACATAGTGACCAGCTGCGAAAAGTATTTTAAGCGACTTGAAGCTGGTGTTGAGGAGAGTGCGGGAGAGTTGCACAACCTGGGGCACGTCGGGGACGCTGCTGAGGACACGGGTGCCCCGCCCTTTATTGATGCGGAAATAGTCGCGTTGGGGGCCATGGTTGCCGACGGCGCACGAATGGGTCTGGCCAACGAGCGTCAGAGCGTAACGGATGAGTGTCAGAGGATGGATAGAGAGGAGGAACCGTTTCAGAGGAGTGCGCGCGAGATCTTGCGTGGAATGAGGGAGGCGCAGCAGAGGGAACCAGAGGATAAGGCCGAGCGTTGCGGATCGGATGCCCTACAACAGAGGGGGGAGGGGGAGAGGATGGAGGAGTTAGTAATGGGTACTGAGGCAGTGCAGCTCTCGGTCGAGAATGATGAACTAGAGCAGGGGCAGGGTACGGACATGAGGCAGGGGAGTCCGAATGTCGTAGGCGAATCGGAGGAGGTGCAGAGAGAGGAACGTGAGAATAGGGTGGTGTATCAGAGGCGGGAGGCAAGAACAAAGAAGAAGTATGATCAGGGGCGGGAAGCACGCGAGGGGGAAGAGGCGAATCAGAGGGTGGAACAGAAGCGGATGAGACTCGAGGACCAGGAGCGAGAGGTGAGTTCGATGGAGGGGGACAGGGAGAGGGAGGAAGAAAATGTGAGGGAGAAAGAGAGGAAGGTCGAGCGCGAAAAGGAGGACTTGCGGCAAAGGGAAGAAGACGAGAGGAAGAGCGAGGAGGCGAGGAAGATGGAGCGCGAAAAGGAGGAAAAGCGGCAGAAGGAGGAGGAAGAGCGGAAGAGGGAGGAGAAAAAGGCTGAGCGCGAACAGGAGGAAAAGCGGCAGAGGGTGGAGGAAGAGCGGAAGAGGGAGGAGGAGAAAAAGGCTGAGCGCGAACGGGAGGAAACGCGGCAGAGGGAGGTGGAAGAGCGGAAGAGGGAGGAGGAGAAAAAGGCTGAGCGCGAACGGGAGGAAACGCGGCAGAGGGAGGTGGAAGAGCGGAAGAGGGAGGAGAAAAAGGCTGAGCGCGAACGGGAGGAAACGCGGCAGAGGGAGGTGGAAGAGCGGAAGAGGGAGGAGGAGAAAAAGGCTGAGCGCGAACGGGAGGAAACGGGGCAGAGGGAGGTGGAAGAGCGGAAGAGGGAGGAGAAAAAGGCTGAGCGCGAACAGGAGGAAAAGCGGCAGAGGGAGGAGGAAGAGCGGAAGAGGGAGAAAAAGGCTGAGCGCGAACAGGAGGAAAAGCGGCAGAGGGAGGAGGAAGAGCGGAAGAGGGAGGAGGAGAAAAGGGCTGAGCGCGAACTGGAGGAAAAGCGGCAGAGGGAGGTGGAAGAGCGGAAGAGGGAGGAGGAGAAAAAGGCTGAGCGCGAACGGGAGGAAAAGCGGCAGAGGGAGGAGGAAGAGCGGAAGAGGGAGGAGGAGAAAAAGGCTGAGCGCGAACGGGAGGAAACGGGGCAGAGGGAGGTGGAAGAGCGGAAGAGGGCGGAAGAGAAGGCTGAGCGCGAAAAGGAGGAGAAACGGCAGGAGGATGAGCGGAAGAGGGAGGAAGAGACTAAGCTGGAGCGTGAAAAGGAGGAGAAACGGCAGAGGGAGGATGAAGAACGGAAGAGGGAGGAGAAGGCAGAGCGCGAACAGGAGGAGAAGCGGAAGAGGGAGGAGGAAGAGCGGAACAGGGAGGAGAAGGCTGAGCGCGAAGAGGAGAAACGGCAGAGGGAGGATGAGCGGAAGAGGGAGGAGAAGGCTGAGCGCGAACAGGAGGAGAAGCGGCAGAGGGAGGAGGAAGAGCGGAACAGGGAGAAGGCTGAGCGCGAAAAGGATGAGAAACGGCAGGAGGATGAGCGGAAGAGGGAGGATGAGCGGGAGAGGGAGAAAGCGACGAAGATGGAGCGCGAAAAGGAGATGAAGCGGCAGAGGGAGGATGAAGAACGGAAGAGGGAAAAGACGGCAGAGCGCGAACAGGATGAGAAGCGGCAGAGGGAGGAGGAAGAGCGGAAGAGGGAGGAGAAGGCTGAGCGCGAAAAGGAGGAGAAACGGCAGAGGGAGGACGAGCGGAAGAGGGAGGATGAGCGGAAGAGGGAGGAAGCGACGAAGGTGGAGCGCGAAAACGAGGAGAAGCGGCAGAGGGAGGATGAAGAGCGGAAGAGGGAGGAGGCTGAGCGCGAACAGGAGAAGCGGCAGAGGGAGGAGGAAGAGCGGAAGAGGGAGGAGAAAAAGACAGAGCGCGAACAGGAGGAGAAGCGGCAGAGGGAGGTGGAAGAGCGGAAGAGGGAGGAGGAAAGAAAGGCTGAGCGCAAAAAGGAGAAGCGTCGAAGGGAGGAGGCGCAGAAGAGGGAGGAGAAGCAGCAGGCTGAGCGCGAACAGGAGGACAAGAGGCAGAGAGAGGAAGAGCAGAACAGGGAGGAGGAGAAAAGGGCAGAGCGCGAACAGGAGGAAAAGCGGCGGAGAGAGGACACGTGAACGGGAGCGGAAGAGGCTGGAGGCGAAGGGTCGAGAAACGCGCGAAAAGGAGGCGAGGGTGGAGGATCGAGAGCGACAGAGGCTGGTGGTCGAGACTGAGGAGCGAGAAGCGCGCGAAAGGGAGGAACCGCGGCAGAGGCAGGAACGGGAACGGAAGAGAATCGAAAGCGAACGCAGAAGGAAAGAGCTTCAAAGGCTTGAGCGCGAGAGGCAACTGGCCAAACAGACGGAGGAAGCCGGTGAGCATCAGGGTGTGGAGCGTCAGAGGGATCGACGTATAGAGAATGAGCGGCGTGGGATAGGGGGCACTACACAGAGGCACGAAAGGCAGAGAGAGGTTGTTGGGTTGAATGAACAAGGTGCTGAGGGGCAGCGGCGTGGGGATGGAACTCGTCACACGATCGATGGCCATAGGGGCGCGAGGGTCTTTCAAGCGTAGTTGGGGCCAGATGCAGGGGAAGGAGCTCGGCAAGTGGTGGTTGGCGACCACCCAACCGAGGGGCATCAGGGGACGACTGTTGGTCGGGCAGCGGATGTTGGTTTACCGGGATTGAGAACTGGCGGAACAAGACAGGTAATACAGCGGGAAGGTGGCCGGCGTGATGATCAAGCAACTCGAAACAGGGTCGGCGAGGGAACCCGTAGGAGGGTCGAGCAGTCAAGGCAAGCTGGTAGGCGAGAGGGTGAAGCACGTGGAACGCGGCAGGGTGAGAGAATGGCGGAGGATCAGGTCTGGCGTGGGGTGGGATGGGGAATGGAGGGAGTGCGACACAGGGAGAATCAGCAGAGACATGCGGGAGGACGGGTGGACGAGGAAATAGAGAGTGCGGCGAGTGCGCTCCCTATGCAGAGGCATCATGCACGAGCGGCGGAGAATCCTGCTGCGGTGCATGCAGAGGAACTAGAGGATGGTGAATGGGTGGCTGTGGAGACGGAACTGGCGGGACTGGAGAATGCGGGGCCCCAGGTTTTCGAGGAGACGGAGCGAGGGTTTGAGGAGGCTGGCGACCGCATCGCAGCTGGCGGCAGGGTGCGTACCACAGCAGAGCTAATGCGGCGTTTGACGTTGGTGGCAAGGTCCGTGGCCAGGACTTCGTCGGAGCAACGTGTTCGTTTCAGCGACTGCATGGCAGAGATTCGCGAGTTTGGGTTGCAGATGCAGGGTTGGGACATGCGCCACATGCAGGACTACGATGATCTAACTCACGAGTACCACGAGCTCAAGGCTGAGGTGGTCCGGAAACGCAACGAGCTAAACCAATTGCGTAGTGATGTTTCGACCTCTGTCGCCGAGGCACGAGCGGCAGCAGCTGATGCGGGTCGCGCAGCTGCAGCAGCGGCTGTGGGAGCATTGCAGGAAAAGTTAGAGGGTTTTTTCGAGAACTTAGGGGTGAAGCTGAAGAGTGTGGTTGAGCAGGTGATAGAGCGATCGTCGCTGGAGGCCACGATCACATCCAGCTCCATGGAACACCTGCAAGCAGCTATTGACAACAGTGTATACACAGTGTGGGAGGATCTTAGAACTGCCGACGACCAGAACAATCTGAAATCACCAAGATTCAGAAGGCGCTTTCTGGACTGTCAACAAAGCTCAAAGGGCTGACTGGACCCATCAAAGTCCGAAAACCACCCACCGCCGGAGCAGAGGCCACACCAAGGCCTTCGCGAACGCAGCCCGAAGCAGATTCCCCGGACATCCCAATCTCCGCAGCACAACGAGTGATGGAAAGGTTTGCCGCGACGTCCGAGGGTGAGGCGGGTGAGACGGGCGCTGGTGTGGCAGATATTGACTTGTCTGAACCAGTGAGGAGAAACTGGAGAGAGACGTACGCAGCAAAGAAAGTGCAGAAAGAGAAGGAGAAGGAGAGCGTGGAGAGGAGGACGGCTGAAGCGCGGAAGCGGCAAGCACTTCAGACGGCGTAAGCGGCGGCTGCAAAGAAGAGGCGGGCTGAGGGTTGGGAAATACGAGGGTGGAGGACCGGCCTGGGACTGTTAGCAGCGGGAGAGTGACGGAAAACCAACCGGCGGGTACAGCCGCCGAGGCAAGGATGGTGGAACGCGAAAAGGAAGATAAGCGGCGGAGAGAGGAGCAAAAAAGGGAGGAGGCGAGGAAGGCGGAACGCGAAAAGGAGGAGAAGCGGCAGAAGGAGGAGGAGGAGCGGAAGAGGGAGGAGGCGAAGGAGGTGGAACGCAAAAAGGAGGAGAAGCGGCAAGAGGAGGACGAGGAGCGGAGAAGAGAGGAGGCGAGGAAGGCGGAACGCGAAAGGGAGCAGAAGCGGCAAGATGAAGAAGAGGAGCGGAAGAGGGAGGAGGCGAGGAAGGCGGAACGCGAAAAGGAGGAGAAGCGGCAGAAGGAGGAGGAGGAGCGGAAGAGGGAGGAGGCGAGGAAGGCGGAACGCGAAAAGGAGGAGAAGCGGCAGAAGGAGGAGGAGGAGCGGAAGAGGGAGGAGGCGAGGAAGGCGGAACGCGAAAAGGAGGAGAAGCGGCAGAAGGAGGAGGAGGAGCGGAAGAGGGAGGAGGCGAGGAAGGCGGAACGCGAAAAGGAGGAGAAGCGGCAGAAGGAGGAGGAGGAGCGGAAGAGGGAGGAGGCGAGGAAGGCGGAACGCGAAAAGGAGGAGAAGCGGCAGAAGGAGGAGGAGCGGAAGAGGGAGGAGGCGAGGAAGGCGGAACGCGAAAAGGAGGAGAAGCGTCAGGGAGAAGAGGAAGAGCGGAAGAGGGAGGAGGCGAGGAAGGCGGAACGCGAAAAGGAGGAGAAGCGGCAGAAGGAGGAGGCGAGGGCGATGGAAAGGAGGCGGGCACAAAGGGAGGCGGAGTTAGAAGCTAAGCGTCAGCAGATTGCAAAGATCGCTGAAACAAAGCGGTTGGAGGCAGCAAAGCGAAAAAGAGACCTCGAAATAGAGCGTCGGAAAGCCATGGAGGAGATCGAGCGTATTGCACGGTTGGAGGAAGCCGCAAAGGAGGAAGAGGAGAGGCAACAAAAGGAGTTAGAGGCAGAAACAGAGAAAATGGAAAACGAGAGGCGACGGATTGCGGGTGAGGATGAGGAAGGGGCAGCGGAGCAACGGCACGGAGGAGAGGCGGAAGGAGAAGGGTGGGCCGGGATTCTTCAAGTGGTTCCCGATGACCCACTGCAAGTAGTGGACCTCGTGGAGGAGCGGCAGGGTTCAGTACAACTGGCAGGCCATGGAGTTTTAGAGACTCAACCGCCATCGAAAAGGTCACGCATTGACCAGGCGGGAACGAACTTCGACGCGGATGAGGGGTCTTTGGGGACAGCTGCGTCAGATGAATGTGTCGGTGAAAATGTGTCGGGAAATCAGAACGTTCAACCAACGCTGGGGAAGGCGACGGGAGAGGTGGCACCGCGAAGAACGGATGCGCTACCAGATGAGCTAGGGAAGCGGTGGGGAGAAACAAGGCATTTCAGATCGAGTGGTCTTACCACACGCGAAAAGAAGAACAAGAAGGGGGAAGTGGTGTCCGTGCGCTTCAACTCGGAGCAAACCGTCGGAGGTGTGAAGAGGAACATGGGGAGCTACAAGGAGAGGAAGCTGCGCGATTTCGCAGTGGCCGTCTGTTGGATGACCTACTTCCCCGACACCGACATGCCACATTACGGCTTGGATCCTGCCGAGCTTGGCTTGTGGGCGGTCCACCTCGATTTTGCTCGTAACCTCCCGACGGGTGCCTGGAGTGTCATGAACGAATTGAACCTCGACAAGTTCGAGAAGTGAGTATTCGATTCGACTTAGCAAGTTTTAGTAAATTTTCCCGTTTTCCCACACTAACCGTGTACCCACCTCTCCTGTGCAGCTTCGAAAACGTCATGAACAAGACAAATGCACGGGTGAAGGACGGCGCGCATTTCCAGGTGGCCGTTTGCACAGGGATTGGACAGGCCCTGGTACACGGAGGGAGTGGGCTGGTGTCGCCCCCCGCGAATGTCACTCCCGCGGTCTATGCAGCGGGAGTAGCTGCAACCCTCTACACCTTGTGGTGTGCCTCGATCGGCATTCCCCACCAGGACTGGGCGGAGGGTGCGGATGAGGCGGCTCGTGGCACGCTCAACGAGGCAAGCCTTGCTAGTCGAGCAACCTCTACTGCTCGGCTTGGAGTGTGGACTTTAAAAGCCGTGAAGAACCTAACGCACGAGAAGCCGGAGTGGGAAGTGGTACTCACCAAGGCTATTCTCGGCCTTGTGGATCCCGAGCCCGGGGAGGCAGAGGCTATCGAAATGGCCAAGGTTGTTTCGAGGGTGCTGGTGTACTGGTGCGAGTGCTGTCACGCAAACCAGAATCTTTACGCGTATCAGGGTGGGATGCTCCATTTTCCCCAGCCCACAAAAGGGGGACGGCGGAAGGGGAATGCGGGAGGCAACGAGTGATGCAGTAGGGGGAGGATAGTTTCGAGTTTTCTGCAGCTCTGTACTATAGTCTGTCGCATGTTGTAGTTTTCGAGTCTTCCATTTCCAGCTTGTAAATACAGTTCGGTTACTTCGGACTTAGAGCTCTGTACTGTTTTGGCCCCTTGATAGAGCCCTATACAATATTGTCTCTGATACTTTGTTTCCGATACATAGTTTGTCAACGTCTCAAATTGTTCTCAAATCCAATTGTTTCGCTCGAACACAATCCTCCGCAGACCATGGGGAATAATATTCCGACATGCTAGTACTCTAAACACTGTCTAGGTTTCCGAAGTGGCTTACAAGGTGCTGGTGTACTGGTGCGGGTGCTCTCTGCCGGCGCAGTCTACGCATATCAGAAATGCTGCATCTTGGCCAGCCTTAATGCGGTGGACGGAGACGGCGAATGTGGGTATAAAATTCCGAGGGTGCCAGCTTTATCTGTTGCATGCATTGCTCGAAAGCTTGGCGTGAAAATGGACTTCAATTCTCGAGGGTTAGAGGTCTGTACCACGGTGTTTTCTTGATTGCTTGTGTGATTGTTTTCCAGTAACTAACCTACTCAGGATTTCGCTCGTGAACATTAGGTATGACGCGAGTGCAACCCTAAGTCTTCTCTTGCTTCGGATATATGTGGCATGCTTTGATGATCGACACATTCCCCTGTTTTTGAGATATTCCCATTCTTAACATAGACGTTCCAATAACTTTAGTGTTACTCTAAAGGAGGATTTAGAATCTAGAACAGAAGAAAGGAAAGGTGGAGGGAAGTGCTCTCTGGCGGCGCAGTGATTACTTTCTCGCTTGGCATCATAGTCTGTAGCTAACCCTGATTTTCGAGAGATTCCCAGGTTACACTGACTAGTGTGCCAGGTAACAATATACTCCAAAGTGAGTAAGCACTTTCGAGATCTGTTCGCGTATTTTGTCTGAGCCGTCGCAGCACTGTTATCGACAAGCCAGTTTCGAACACGATCCTATTGGTATGATAGGCGAAGGTTACGATGTACGGAGGGTGTAAAATTTCTAATGGAACTACAGACGTTCCTATGACTATGACGTGACTCTAAAAGTTGATGTAGACCAGAGAAAATTAAAAAGAAGGAAAAGAGGTATCAACGTCACGAGAAGAGCAGAAATGAGGTCTAAGAACGGATGCTGGCAATGATAGATACGTGGAGTCGTAGGAAAACAGAGCGGAACCGATCACGTAAGGAAGTCTCAGTAGCGTGATCTACTTCTTCAGTTTAGCCAGCTTCTTTGGCTCGTCGATCTTGATCTGCTTCCAAACATCTTCCCCAAACATCTTCTCTCCCCACGCGTCACCTTCCATCTGGGCGGCGAAGAAGAGGTACCCGACCTTGCGGCGCTTGTTCTCCGTCGTCTTATCCTTGCCGGGATTATCCCTCTTCGGAGGTGGCTCGTTTCCGAGAATCACGCCATCCGCCAGAGCGCTGATCGAACTCCGATCCACCACGTCCTTTTGGATCTTCGCAATGGCATCTCGGGTGGCCTCCTCCGATTCATTAGCCCTGTACTTCTCGACGGTGAGCATCACGTTCCTCATCCGCTTCATTTTTTTGTCGCCAGTATCGTCCTTCTCACCCTTCTCAATGTACGAGAAAGTGGGGTAGAAACTTTTTTCGGACGACAGCTGGCGGAGAGTCTTTCCGTCCATCAAAAATGTCACCTTCACCCAGTGTTCCCATGCCTCTGCGACCGTCTCCGAGTCCCGCCAGGGTTTAACGACAAGGTCGAAAAATGCCCGCACTGGAGTGGTGACTTGTGCCTTCTGGGGCTTCGGAGCCTCCCCGCCAGCTTCCTCCATTGTCGACGAGCCCGTCCCTCGATCAGCAGCCTGTGCGTTCGCGCTGCTCCCTGCACGCGCCTTCAGAGCAGCCAGCTCCGCTTTGAGCTGCTCGTTTTCAGCGGCCGTCTTCTTCTCCCTCTCTTCGGTTTCAGCGAGCCTGTTCTTCAGCTCGCCGATCTCGTGATCCTTCTGACCACATTCCGTCCGGTACAGGTTGTTCTCCACCAGGAGCTGCTGGTACTTTCGGGATGAGTTCAGCTTGTAGATCGCATCCTGCGGGAAAACGGACGAGGGTTTTCAGGCAATGTCAGGTCTGTCGAAATGGAAGGGCCGATCAGAGAACTGTTGTACTTACAGCGGCTGCAGAGCTGCCTCTGGCTTCACGAAGTTCAATGCCAGCCTTGTGCATGATTGCCACTTTGATGGCCCATTTCTGAAATAGAGGGTGGCGGCAGAGCGGATTCATGTCCGTGTACGGGTGGCGCTGGCACTCGCATGGCCGTCTTGTACTGTTGAACAGATGGTCGTGATCAGGACAGTAGAACCACCACATGGCAAGGTCCTGTGCCACGATGTCTCGCCCAGGGTTTGCAAGAGCTTCCAAAAAACTTCTGCCAGAGTGGTGCGGCTTATCCGGATTGTCGTGGTTGTACTTATCGACCTGAGATGATAGAACAGAGAAGACATTCAGCTTTGCCAAGTGCAACATTAGACACTGCAAAAGGGTGGGTAATGAAGGGATACCTTTGCCAAATCAGATTCGAGGCGCGGGAAGATGAACAGCTTGAAGAGGTCTTGCAACTATTGCCACTCGGCTGGATTGTCAAGTTTAGCGTGCGCTCTGCCAATGTAGTAATCTCCCGGCTCCCCACTGAATCCGGCCATCATCAAGACCGGCCAAAACGGAACTCCCACGACGTAGGATTTTCGCATCTCGCCCTGCTCCCAGCCGCCGAGAGCGTTGATGTCGGGGTCGGGACAGCGATCGTCACTCAGGCCTTGGGCTCCCGACCTGCGAAACGCATGGGTCTTTTTGCTAATCCGCCAGGGCGGTCGAGCTACTTCGTGCATGACCCAATTAATCCAGTTGTTGTGAGTCACGTACGGAAGCTCTTCCTGCAGTTGTTCCCTTCCGTGCCTCAATGGGAAAAAAATGTGCTTCTTTGACCACTGGAGGGGGTCGCTGAAGTCCAGTGGCGGAATGATGTCCGCTCCGAATCGCAGAGGCATGAGGTCGTAGACGAAATGAATCCACAGAAAAAGACCACCAACACCGCAGAGCGCGAAGTTGATGTGCCGGGCCAAGAATTGGTGGGTCAGCCTGTTGGTCGCATTCGTCTTGGACTTTCGAGAGGCGAAAACCACAACAAGGAGATCCTTCTGGCGGTCGGGGACGGCCGTGCTGCTACGCGTGTGGCGGACAAACATGTTGGCGAATCGAAGAGCACGAATGCTGCATCCCCTTCCCAACATTTGGTGTGCGAGCTGAATCATCACCTGCACCGCAAAACACCGCCAGAGACTTTCTGATAATGCAATCCTGGTTCTCTGGTAGCACAATTTGATTTCCCTCAAAAAGTGCTTTTCGTGCAGGTCCGCGTACTGCTCCGACGTGTAGCAATCGTCCAGAGAGTTTCGGTGCTGATCCTTGCCCTCCCTGCATGGACCCACATGGAACGTGCTTAGGCATCAATTTTTCGAGAATCTGTTTGGCCATGAAGTGTGTAAATACTCACTCAAACTGCTTGTCGTGCAGCTGTTTCAGCTTGAGCTTCATGTACTCCCGCGCTTCGCCGATGTACTCATTTGCTTGGGCCTTCGGGTAGTCGTAGAGTCGAGCTTCAAGTCTGCCCAGGAAGCCCAAAGCGCTCATCTTTGCCTTCATCATGCTCGGCGTACTAGGGATGGGCTCCTTTCCAGCCACCACTTCTTCGCCCCTACGCATCATCTCGGCCTGCGCGGGGGTTTCCTCTGCCATGTACCGCAGGAACCTCTGAATCCTCCATCCAGTAACACGGGGCCCGTGGAGATAAACTTCATCCAAATCCACAGTTGACCACTCCGCCTTTTTGTCGTCCCCCAGATGGATTCCAACCTCGTCAGGCGCCAGCGGGTTCAGACGCTCCTCCGCCGGGACCTCAGTCTTGGGCAACGTTGACATGAACATGATGACCCACCACTTGTAGTGCAGCCAATACAGGATGTAGTCTTTTCTGGTTTTCGCCGCGAGATAATCAAAAGGGATTTTTGCGCGGCGAATCCTGCTGGCCACGTCGGCCTGTTTTCGAACTGACTCATGCGTTGCTGATGCTGGCCCATCTGCATTTCTCTGAGGCGCGGCCTGCGATGCTTGCCCCTCCGCATTTCCCTGTGGCGCAGCCTCTGGTTCTTGTCCCTCAGCATTTCCCGCGGGCGCAGCCGACGATCCGACACCATGTGCACTTCCATGTGGCGATGCCTGTGATTCTGGGCCGTTCACATTGCCACGGGGCGGTTCCCCAAAAAGACTTCGCCGGGTGGCATTATCTTCAGAGGTTGGGCTTCGGCTAGCATTTTCCTCCCAATTCTCCTCAAACAACGCTCGGTGGGGGTCGTCGTCATCTTCCGCGAGATCAATGAACACCCCCCTCGGAATTCCGCCCCTCGGAATTCCGCCCTCAGCCACATTTCCCTCGACCCCGACTTCAGGGTTCGAGGCCGGAAATTCCTCCTGAGCATCCAGGAACACATCGCCCCCAACAGCTGCCTCGAATTCCGTGTCGGCATCGCGGTCCCCGGTTAGATCAATCGGGGCATTGGGCAGTTGGCAGTCTGGAAGATCATGATACTCCTCATTGAGGTCGAAAGCTGCGCTAAGAAAATTACCCGTACCGCCTTCGCCCGCCATCACGGTGTACCTGTTTCAGAGGGCTGTATGCTTCACAGGTGCGCGAAACCTGTCCTGAAACGCTTATTTTCGACATGCGAAATCTAAAACGCCTCGTCGGGAATTGGATGGACTGCCAGCAAGCCCAAGAGAATGTTGTGTTGAAAAGAGAATCGTGATCGGAGTTGTTACAGGGAAAATAAACTATGAATGTGACCCTTCTGAGTGGAGAACAATGATGATATGAAACGGATGTTCCATTCAGAGTTCTTTAGCATCTCTAAAATGTTCTCATTTTCCAGAGTTCAAAAAATCCTACGCGGACTCGACCCTCGGCGTGTGTGCAACTCTGAACGGAGCAATGTATCATGCCATGTTGGATTGAAGGTATGGAAGCAAGCAGGCTGATGTTTTCCCCTAAGATGTGTTAAATTTTTACGAAGGAATCAAGAAATGACACACAACAGAGAGCTATTTAAGCATTCTGGGACTCAGCCACATGAACATGAGCACCACAACCTCTGTCTGCATTCCTTCTTCCCGCCACAGCTTCTCTAGATCTGGTCGCCAGACCCCAGATCTGGGGTTCTTCCCGCCTCTGACAGAGCACCCGATTGGTTGGCTCCTCCACAATGGCGTAACTCTGAGCCATACCCCTCCCGCAGAGAACGAGTAACTCTGCCACGTGGACCACGGTCGGCGCGCAAACGGAAACATGTTAATACACATTATTTTCAATATAGTACAACATCAAGGGTTGTGCCCAGTTACGCGATTTAACAAAACAAAGCTTAAAGTGGATATGCTTCTTTCAGGAAACAGTTAAAAGTACCATGGCGCGATCGAAAAATCCGAGAAAAATCCGTCTTCTTGTGGTACCAAAAGTTAATTGCGTTTTCGAATTCTGGTCTCGTTTGTACTTGAACCAAGAATTATATGAGCAATTCGACTAGTAGCGTGTTTAAGGGTGTATAACGCAACAGTCGTTTATCATTATTACACCAGAACATCTGTTGTTCGTGTTGATGTGTTAACGTAAACTGCTACTGGGTTGCCCAACTGCATTATAGGACTGCTTTGTCCTCATCGAAAAAAAAACAACCTATGAGTCTGTCTTTTAACGACTGGCCGAGGTACATACGGCGTTTCAGAACACTGAACTAGGTGGACAATCGCGCAAACAACAAGCGTTCGAACTTGCGGAAGACGATGTAATCTAGTAAAACGTGTGCAGAAAAACAAATTCCACTGTAAACGAATGTCTAACACGGACCTCATTACCGAGTTTCTCAATAGAGGTGTTTTCACCAACTGGCTGCGACGTGTTCGTGCATATCACGTCGCAACCGTTTGCGCGAAATGTCAACGTCAACTGACGGCGACACATTGACGTTGGCGAGAGAACGTGCTTCGCCAGCTACATTGCACGCACAGATCTGCTCGGGCAGAGCACAGTTTCACGGGCAGGCAGAGCCTAGCCTTTGGGACGGTGGCGGTTGTCCTACTCGGCGCAAGCTTGCGCCGCTTCCGCTTGGGTCGAGTCCCAGCTCGACCCAAGCAGCTGGACCCACGTTTTTTCCCTGGCAAATCCGCTCGACCAGCGCCAAGAGCAATATAACTTCCCTCTGTTGGTACATCACCTGACACAGTGAACACTGTAGAATGGTAGGTACGACATTGTTCCGTAAGGATCGCCTGCGTGATCCTCAAAATGCAGCGATCTTTGCTGGGGTGTAACACGCTCTTATGATACAGGCCCGTGGAACGAAACTCCACGCATATTAACACATTTCACACATGTACGTAAGAGCAGCATTAAACGCAGCTTCTTGTCTGAATAGTGAACCCCGCATGTCAGCTTGCGAATGTTGGCGGATTTTTCGTGCTGATGCCACCCCATAGTCACACAGTCAGAGGGTTGTACCAGTCAAACACCAGAGGCTCTGCAGGCTGTCTCATTCCTGCAAAAGACCAATTGCCTGCAAGGAACATATAAGAAAAGCACCCCATACAAATACGATCAGGCGCGTCACGTGATTGTCATCAAGAGCTCTCTAGAAACCCTGGGAGTTGAACGAGAAGGCCACGTGGATTCACGCAGTGAGCACCCGCGGCCCCGGGAGCCAACCAGCGAAGAATAAGATTCTGGGATTTTCTTACAACTGCCCCCTGCCAAAGAAAGATACCTGAGTACGTAGGGGAAGTGAGCGACTTGGGGGAGTGCTGCGCGGTTTGAGCCGGTTCTTGGCGTAATCGCTTGATGGTGATGCTCCGCGTAATGCGAGGAACGTTGCCAGAAGCCTCAGCTGCCGCCACGCTGGCACGGTGGATACCGTGGCTGAAATCTGCACACAAGAGTAATAATGCCACCACGCCATCAGCATAAAAAAAAAAAAAAAAGAGGAAAATCACAAGGAGATTCCATGCAGCTTCCATACAGAAGACGCGAATCTTACTGGAAAACATTTGAAATGCATCAGGTTGGGAGGCTATGATATCGAGCAGAATGGTACCGTGAGAGTCCAGAGTGGAGCGTGGGGAGCTGGAACCGCTGTCATTTCGTTCTAGCGGAGTTGCGGGACGGCCGCAGGACGACGCAGACAGCACCGGCATCTCCGCTCCGCACAATTGCGCTCGGCCCTTCACATCCTGAAACATTCTGGCTAGCAGCCTCATGTCTTGAACCATATGTGACGACGCGAGACAGGTGAAAGCCTCCGAAAAGATATGCCTTTCCAATTATAAGAAGACCAGACGGAGCGTGATTCGAAGCCAGTTATCTGAAATCAGGTCAACATAGTAGGTTTGATGAGAAGGTAAAATAACTTTGAGATTGGTGTTATGTAGTGACAATTGTGATTCAGCTGGGACAGGAGGGAGCGCTGGAGGTGGTGTTACATACTTTCAGTTTTCCTCATTACCCCACTCCACCGTTGTTTTCACTGTTATAACAACTTCAAAACCTCGCAGAAACCTTTTCTTGGATACTGCTTGGGTTGGAGATGAAGGGACACTTGCGACTTCGTGTCTTCGGTTCGGGGATTTTGGATTTGCTGACAGGGGAAATAGCCCGAATCAGGGCTGGGAAAATCCGCCTGCTGTGTGTGTGGCTCGGTGAGCTGGAGAAGGAATGTACCAATCATACGTGAGAAATTTGCTCCAGCGTGATTCGCCAACTCCTGGGTGGAGGGACAACGCCGCAAAAAATGTGCAGTCCACGTAGCCTTGGGGGTGGGTTTCTGATGCGGGTGACGTGGCTTATCCCAAGGGGGGATTTTGGCGAATGGAAAGACGGAAAAAGAGCCACCTTCATGACAGAAGTGCGCTGACAATGGAGCAATCTGATGTGGCACTGATGCGTTTCCAAAGCAGATTTCTTTCGTGCTGAATGAGATGAGAGTTTCGTGTCAGGACCTCTGACAAGTGAAATAAATTAAGCGATCTCGGGGTCACCTGTTATTCACTCCAAATGATCAGGTTCCGTACCCGGCCTTGAGAGCGTGTTACACCCACGCAAAGATTGCTGCATTTTGAGGATCACGTAGGCAATCCTACGGAACAGTGTCCCCCACCCCTGTACAGTAATCACTGTGCCAGGTGATGTACCAACAGAGGAAGGATCGAAATCACGAGAGATCGTGATACCCGATCTTGGTGTTTTCTGGGAGTTCGTGGTGACTGCCAATCTCTCGGTAATCCTTGCTACTATGTACCAAAGACAGGGTGTTCCTTGATGACGAAAAATTTGTTGTCGCAAACTGTTGTAACAAGATTGCGACTAATCAGAGCATTTTTCTAATGAAGTTCGAACCAATAAGGCTGTTGATTTAGGATCAGTAACGCAGTCAACGTGGTCAACAAAACTATCCAAAGATCGCGACTATCGTTTCGTTTCAGGCGACGTCGCCTGGTCGCAGAGGATCACCATTGCAAATTTGCAGATGGTACACCAACAAGGATCGTGATGTGTACCAATACAATGTTGTTTGGCCACTCGTAATCCTACGGTTGGGGTGTTGGTGATCTTGGCTAAGTGATCCTTGGGATTAGGGCAGGTGTAACACGCTCAAATTTGGATACCCTTGTGCTATTTTTCGGCCCCTATTTGATCCTGCCCTTGATAAGGGCGCGTATCCTTGAGGTCGAACTTTTTCCAAAGTTCGAACTTCTAGAATGGTTGTACACGGTAATATACACCTGAGAGACGTGTCGCCACCAGGCCTGTCAATTCACGGACATTTGTCCGTTTTCCCTGAGAATTCAGGGTTAGTTTCAGCTCAGCTCGGAGATTTTCAGGGTTGGTTTTTCCCCTAGCCCGGATTCCTAACGGAAAGGTTTTGGGGCCCCGGATTCCCGTACATGCCACCCCCCTTCCCCTTCCCCCCTTTCTTCCCGACCATAGACCGCGAACTGTCCCTCTCCCACTCCACCCAACAACACCGGCCCCCCACGTTCCCCTAAATACCCTGCTCTTTAGTGTATGTCTAGCTCGAATATCTTAGCTTTTTTACGCATGCATTCTCAGAGCCGGAAAGATGTATGCCCTGAATTTACGTCCGCTTTCCGGATAGCTCAGGGTTGTTTTCGAGGCAGCTCAGCTTCGTACGGGTCGGACTCACACCAATCGACAGCCCTGGTCGTCACGGCACAAAGCGGTATCAAGCTCGAACTTTGACCATCTACACCAAAAGACACGCGCGCTAAACAGATGGGTCAGCGGATGTCCGCGAATGTAGGAATGTCCTAGTGTTTTTCATCTAATTTGCTGTACTGATAGGTACTCCCAGTTCACCTAAATGCAGAGCACAAAATTGATCGGATCAAAGGATCAAAACGGTTCTCTTTCAATCTAACAAACCTTTCTTTCGGTTCTTCTAACATTTTGTTGAAGGTTAAACGATCAAAACATTCCAAAACCAGGCAACATTCCAAACACTCCCCTAGGGTAGGCAGGCAACCAGTGCACTACTCATGCGATTCTCATTCACAAGTCACTTGGATGCATTCTTGTTGGCATCCGATGCTTTTGGCGCCTCCTCCGGTGGGCTTAGGCTGCCAATGGAGGAGAGCTTGCCAAAGGCCTCTTTGGCAGTCCCAAATTTATCGTCCACAAACTCCTTGGCCTTGTCAAACACTGACTTGAGCTCCGCCTCTGGCGGCATCTGTCGGTTGACAAGGAAAAAAAGGAAAACAGGGGGTGTTAGTGACACAATTGTTCTGAAGCATCCTTGATGAAACTCTTCTGCCTGCTGTGCCTCCTCTGCCCTCCCTGCCCTGCCTGCCTGCCTGCCTGCCTGCCTGCCTGCCTGCCTGCTTGCCTGCCTGCCTGCCTGCCTGCCTGCCTCCCTGCCATGTGTACCCTGTCCGCCCTGCCTATTGTGCAATATGATGCAGCTCACGCGAGAAACCCCCAACAGAGATCCAGTTGAGCGGTTCAGTGTGCTAGTATGCACAAGGGGTGGGTTTAGCAGCTGAGTGCTCACTCACTCACCTTCACATTGCCAAAATCGAACATGGCAGCTCACGTCACACAGAACCAGAACCAAACAAGCTAACAGAGCCATTCCAGAGAGCTCACTTACCTTCGCGACATCTGAGCCTCACATGGCAGTTCGTGCCAGGGACCATGCCAAACAAGCTTACGAATTAACGTTCTCTGATCCTCGCATGGCAGCAAGTGTTACACGAGCCACTTGAAACAAGCTTGAAGCAACATTACAGAGTGCTCACTCACCTTCACGACATCTGAGCCGTACATGGCAGCTCGTGGATTTGCGGGATCCTGGGAATCGAGGGCAACAGAGGGGTTTAAGGGACAGATCCAGGCACGAAAGAGTCAGTCAGTTCAATGGATCAGCTTCACCAAAGGCAAACATCGAATGTAACCCGGACACATATCCCACAATTATCCTCTGTAAACGGTTGACAAAATTCGTGTTTTACACATTCTGTCAGTCAGGTATAATGGAAACAGCCATTATATCCTGCACTGCACCAAGAGCAAATGCACAGGAACATCCCCAAATGCAACAGGACATAGCCTTTGATAGCAAAAAGGACAAATTGCTATGAATGCATCACAACATGCCCTTGAAAAACAAAGAACATGACTCATGGATGCGTTGACAATACACAATGGATAAGACAGTAGTTTCCATGCCTTGCATACCTAGCTCACACCTCACAACATGTCAAGTAGACACGGCACAGCACAGCACATCACAGCCCAGCACAGCACAGCACAGCGCAGCACAGCACAGCACAGCACAGCACAGCACAGCACAGCACAGCACAGCACAGCACAGCACAGCACAGCACAGCACAGCACAGCACAGCACAGCACAGCACAGCACAGCACAGCACAGCACAGCGCAGCACAGCACAGCACAGCACAGCACAGCGCAGCACAGCGCAGCACAGCACAGCACAGCACAGCACAGCACAGCACAGCGCAGCACAGCGCAGCGCAACACAGCACAGCGCAGCACTTACCATGACTTTGTAGCCATAGTCGTATCCGGACGCGCCCTTGAGCATCGGGTATTGTCTCAAGGCAGCATTGCGGAGGGCCTTCTCATCCTGCTCATTGTGACACAAGCCACAGGCAGAGGAAGAATGTCAGTCAGTTGCATCAATTCCTGCAAGTGCAAGCACAGAGGCAGCTATTGCTACACCTCAGCCCTCTGCATGTCAGCTTGCTTTCTTTCTTTTAGCCCTCCTGTGAAAAAAACAAACTTGTCTGTGCCCTATGCTTGCCCGTGCCATTGTCTGTGGTGCCAGAGTGGTGTGTGCTGGGGCTTGTGTGTCAAGGGGGTGTGTGTGGCAGGAGGGTGTGTGGCAGGGGGTGAGTGTTGCAGTGGGGGTGTGTCGCAGGGGGCGTGTGGGGCAGTGTGGTAATTACTAGAACTCATTGGACGTAAGACTTCGTCTGTCTGCTGCATGGTGCGCCACATTTTCTAAGATCGAAACCTTCCTAAGACGATTAATGAAAAACCAGCTCCCCTCGCCAATGCCCCCAGCCCACTTTGGACACGACAGCAGCAATGTAATGCATGGGCGTGCCCTCATACAGCTGCTTCCTCATGACTTACCGAACTTAACCCCACTTGACTGCATTATCCTCTCCGCCCCTTCCCCTTCCTCCCCCAGCCCACCCTGTATACAACAGCAGCGGTTGTGCGGGTGAGCATGCCCCCGTACAGGTCGTTGCGCATCACTGCCAGCGTCACTGCCAGCGTCACTGCCAGCATCACTGCCAGCATCACTGCCAGCATCACTGCCAGCATCACTGCCAGCATCACTGCCAGCGTCACTGCCAGCATCACTGCCAGCATCACTGCCAGCGTCACTGCCAGCATCACTGCCAGCATCACTGCCAGCATCACTGCCAGCATCACTGCCAGCATCACTGCCAGCATCACTGCCAGCATCACTGCCAGCATCACTGCCAGCGTCACTGCCAGCGTCACTGCCAGCGTCACTGCCAGCGTCACTGCCAGCGTCACTGCCAGCGTCACTGCCAGCGTCACTGCCAGCGTCACTGCCAGCGTCACTGCCAGCATCACTGCCAGCATCACTGCCAGCGTCACTGCCAGCGTCACTGCCAGCGTCACTGCCAGCGTCACTGCCAGCGTCACTGCCAGCGTCACTGCCAGCGTCACTGCCAGCGTCACTGCCAGCGTCACTGC